AATTATAATTAAAGAAAGTGAAAACTTTTGAGGATTCAAATTTTGAATTACAAAAGCTTTAGTCTAAAAAATATTTTCGTTAAAATGTACGAGTCATTAAAAATTCCTTTTTTAAGGGCTGATAGTGCTGAACATCTTCTGGTAGCTTTCAAACCACTTAAGGGTTTAAAATAGACTCAGCGTTGGGTTAAAAATGGGTTTATTTTAACTTTTTTTAGAAGTTTCTTACAAAAAATTTTAATTTTACAGAAAATGAGACAACATAGTTGTTGAATCTTTGGAACAATTTAATAAAATTAATGAAGCAGGGCACTTTATCTTATCTTCTTTCATTTCAAGTAATTTTAAATTAAAAACCGCACCTGCCATCAAAGACAGACTCTTGCAAAAGGAATTAAGTAGAACGTTGCAAAATGTCCATCCACATTTACAAACCTTTCAGAAAAAAAGTTGTAATTCAAACACTTATAAATGGAAAAGTTTTGGTGAAAATTGAAAAATCAATGAGATTGCGAGCTTGTCTCATGACTCCCATGCAAATTAGTGTACAATGTTTCTAAGGCAAATATTTTCAAAGAATAGAAAAAATTCAAAATCACAATTGATTTTGTTCCGTTTTTTTTTTTATGAAAATTAAATTCTCATAGAAGCTTAAAATTTTCATAGTATTTGAAAATTTGTTTAAGTTGAGATGATTTTTCAAATAATTCATATATCATCATTCAATCATTTAATTGAATGAAAATCTTCTTAATTGGTTATCACTGCAGTGCCTCTCCTGTCCATTTTTGGTTCGACGCGATGGTTGAATGCACATGCAGCTGCTTGCATTTATTATCGACACAAATCACGGCGCAATATCACGTCCCTCTCCTGTTTTATTATTTATACATTCTGCTGCGAGTTGTGAATGGGCGGGCGGCGCCGGCCGGGATTCCAAAACCAAAACCCACAGAGATTTCTGCCGACCATAAAACGATTCCAACACATCAGAGCGGATTGTTGCCGAGTCATTTCTCGCTTGTGGCTGGAAACTTCCTTTGCATTGCTAAGACTAATTATTTCGCGGTAAAATACGCACGTCGGGTTTATTTGTTTTGGTCGCCTAACAAGACGGAGGAGGACAATATCTGTCCAATTAGTTGCAAGAAAACGCAGCAGTGTTGTCGCCATATTCGTGAAGTGACTCTACGAGTTTGCTTCTGAGAAGAGGAAAAACAAATGAGAGAAGCGCCAATGCGTATAGTTAATTTGAAAACAACCATCTCATTAATCTAAGAGAGGAAAATATATTAAGAAAAAAAAATTTAAATGTTTTTTGTTTAGAAAAAGTCAACAACTTTTTGCATGTTTGTGCCATTTATCTTCAAACTAAGTAAAACTCCCATCGACAAATATATGCCACAAATGCACGATAGAATTTAAAAATTAAGGAATAATTTTTTACAATTCAACACCACCCAATTAACCGCAAACCTTTCAATTTAAAAATAATAATAATTCGTGTCACTTGTCATTTATCTTTTAATTGGTGCTGCTGACCTCCTTTTTCACACGCACGTGAGAGGCGGCATAAAAATTAAGTTTTTTTTTTATCAAAGTGTCTACGTCATGCATTTTCTTTTGAGGTAAAACGCCGACAACCCTAGGATTTTTCAAAACTTTTATGCCATTCGCTAGCTTTTGGTTATTTCAGTGACAAAAGGGCGGCGGTGCGTAGTCGTTTCTCAAAAGCTGTAAAGTGGATTGCGTTTATCTTTTGCACTTGATGGTGGCACGGCAGCAATTAAAGGCGTTATCGCTCCAGTAATTTATGTGCAGCTTCATATAAAAAGCCGCAGCTAGCAAAGGAAAGCAACGAAAAATGCGGGCCTCAAAATTTCGGTCGTGAAATTTTTATTATAACCGCAAGATTTCCATGAAATTTTAATAATTTGCATTGGGGAACAAATTTATACTTTTAGAAAAATTAGTAATTTGCATTTAATTTGTATTTTTAGCAGGTTTAAAAGAGTAATTTTTTTAAGCAATATTTAATATTTTTTTACTTTATATTTAAAATGAATCGAGCCTCATGCTGAAGTAATTATTTTTGGTACTAAATTAATTATAAATTTTTACGTTGTATAATGAACAGAGTTCCAGGAATTTATATTTTGTTTTCAATTAATCAATTTAATATCAGCAAGTTTGATCGATTCAAGCAATGTCTCCTTTGTGATGCGGTGTGCAAACCCCATCAACTATTCAATTATTAAAGAGCCGAAAATTTTGCACCTCATACTTAGGCGAGATAGCATCAATTAGTTATCTAATTGAATCGGCACACTCGGTTATGAGAGAGCGGCTCGCAATTAATCACGCAGCGCGCGCGAAATGAAATAATGAGTCAGCTGGACCGAGACAGAACAATGAGCGAATAAATATAAATAAAGGGCGATAAGCGTCGCGAGTTTTGACACGTCGTTTCGGAGAGAGCACAATGAATTTAACGGAGATGGACGAGGGACCCACCGTTGGAGAATGAAAAAAAAATAACATACAAATACTACACGCAGAGGCCCGTGACAGAGGCCAAATATGGTGCACGGGGGCACCACTCCTCCATTGGCGCGGCGAGAAGAGAGAAGAAGCCCCGGTTCAATTTATTGCGCCATTATGTGCATACGCAGGTTTTATTTTATACACACTCTCCAGCGTGTTATGCATTAATATGTTGCCAGCCCATAAGCCTATATGGCAAGTGGAAGTGGGGATTTATTCGGCGTCTCGGCAGTGACAGCATGAGATGTGATTGCCGCTGCACTTTAATAGTCCGATTTAATTGAATTTTATCTTATTTGCCTACCACACACTCACTTCAGACGTAGAAGATTGCATTAATAAAATGGAAATAGAGAGTATAAAGTGGATCGTTTTTGTCACTGTTTCCGACTCACTGCAGCTTGCACAACTGAGATATTACGCTGCAGCATTTTCATTTGCAAAGAGATTTCTCACATAAAGATAACAAATTGCCAAAAACGTAACTGTAAGTTAAAACGTTTAAAAATCTCTTTTTATAACAAATAACTAATTTGTTTGTTTTTCAAAAATTGAATGTACACAATGTATTTGTAACAATGTGGAAAAATAAACAACAACAATAATAATGATATAAAAATGAGTTATAAAATATAAAAAGAGGCCGTTACTACGTTGTACTTACAAAAAAATATGCGTATTTTCTGGTTACAGTAAACTTTAAGAATTTATTAAATCATTCAATCCTTTGAAATTGTGAAAATATTTTACTATAAAACTAAGCCAAGATATTCCTTCACATTGTCTTAAAATTTTGAAATTTTATAAACTGTATGGTTTAATTCCAGAATCTTCATTGTTTAATTTGAAAACTGGAATTTAAAAAAAAAAATCTACTTAAAATCATAAACAAGTAATAACCGTTCATAATAAAATTTGGAATTCTTAATTGATCAATGAGTTATTGATCCAAAAACTTTATTTCAAATTTTGTGTTTTGAGATGCATTTCCAAAATATTTGAATTGTTATCAATGAAATCAAAATCAGACGAATTATTATTGATTTATCTCCATTTTCTCCATAATTCCGTTACTTGTCTAGTTCGTCTGCATAAAAAGCAATTAAATCTACTTTTAATGAATTTTTACTTTTAATTATGCTGAAAACACGCAAATTGCAAGTATTTTTCCATTCAGCTGATAGTAGAGGAAAGTTCACAACCTTAATCAGACACACCGTCACTGCAGCCTTCAACACTTCCTTGGCTGCCTGCCGAGCGGAAAAACTTATATTCCTAAATGACTCATTTCTCATTTTCCTCCACCGACAGTCATAAATGATGACAAAAGTTGAAAGTTGCGAAAATTGAGACATTAAAAAATATCAAGGGAGGAAAATTTGAAAAATTATAAAGCCGTGTGTTAACCCTGCGTTGCAGTTTCCGGAAAATCCACCGCCCACACTCTCGGCCCAGACGGACATTATTAACAATTAAGACTGCGCCGCATCATTTGTCTCTGTCATAAGCATGCTTGCACTTAAGTCATGGTTGCGATTAAAAAATTATACCTTCCTCGCACGCTACTTTTCACGTAAATTGTTCAGAAAGCTGCGTGGCGGGGTATCGCGGACGAGGCGCGATACGAACAAAAGCGAGCGCGGTCGCTTCCTTGCGCTTTTTCCGCCGACGTGGAGGGTCAGAATTCAGAGCAGGAGCTCATGTAGAATGTGTACAGAAAGGAAAACGTACTATCAAAGTTTTCTGTCAGACGTTCGGTTCTTTTGTTCTACAAAGAAGAGAAGATTCTTTCTGATCCCAGGAGAATTTGTTTATGGAAATATCAAAGGGTTTAAAAAATACTGACTTTGATAGATGAAAAAATGGAAAATAAATAAATCTGGAGATATATATATATCGTAATTATGATTTTGTTGTATTTCATGCAAACCCACTGAAAATTAAAGTTTTTTAATAATTCAAGTTTATTTCTACCCAAGATGTAAAGAAATTTTGAAGATTATCAAAATTAAAAAAAAAATCGATTTATCTGTTTTTTAGAAAAAACCTGATTTTAAAATTATATACCACCTTAATTACCTTAATTATAATGCATACTATTTTCAACTTTTTGTTGACCAGATAAAATCAAACATTTTATTTAAGATGGGTTTCTTAATTTTGATCAAAATCTCAAGCTTTTAACTTAAAACTGTTCGCAGGTGAGTGAAAAAACTTATAATTTTAATTTAAACTTTTGTATTTTGCAATTAACCTGATAATCTAAAATCAAATTCTCTGAAAATACTGTTCATGTTTTGGAAAGGTAATTATTCGCAACAACTCGAATTCATTGCTGAAGCTAGTTTCAGAAGAAGATTGTTTCTGCACTTTGGGTAATTAGAGGTTCGCCAAATGGACAATAGAAAAGAAAAATCCGGCACCCCGCGGCGAGGGCACTCAAGCTTTGTACTCACACATCTCCTCTCCAAGGACCCAGACCTCAGGGGGCGAGTTGACCTCAACGAGCACGGTGGGTGTGCAGACGAGCAGGACCATCAGGTCGGCGACACTCAGGTTCATGAGGAAGATGTTGGTGGAGTTGCGCATGTCCTTGCTCTTGAGGATGACGATGGGCACCATGACGTTGCCGACGACGCCAATGCCGAGGATCACGATGCAGAAGATCATGGAAGTGGTGCGGATGTAGCTGGGGAAGACTGGCCCCCCGGCCACCGAGTCGGCCGTCAGGTTGAAGCCGTAGTAGGCGGCCGTCGTGTTGTTCTCGGCGGCCAGAGCCGAAATCATCTTGCCGGCCGTCTTGCGACTGTTACGGATGCTGCAGGTCTAGCGCGGACAACTGACTGGGCGCATCATCTGCATCTTTCAGCGGGTCGAGCAGCCGCCAACGACGGCCGAGTCGAGACTGAGTGCCGGCCTCGCCGGCCGGCGGGCAGGTCGGCTGCGCGCGCGACACCAGCCAGCGCCACCAACGTCCCGCAAACATACACACGCACCGCGGCCTGCACCTGTCGGTCCGTGGATCTGCGATGACTCGCGTAATGAGCTCGATTGACTTTTATTCCGACTCCATGCAATATTATATTGCATTTAATGTTCAAATTAATGGGACCAGTTTTTGTGGCAGTTCGTGCGAGTTGGAAATAAAAATAAATTACGAGAGATTGAGGAAATTTTATCCTCTCTTTTCAACTCACTTATATGGTGGCTTTGCAAAATGCATTTATAAATGAATTCTTCCAAATTTTATTCAAAAATAACTAGAATAGATTGAAATATCCATATCAAATATAAGAAGCTGATTTTTTGGTAACTAGTCAAAATGCATTGAAACGTTAGAATTTCATTTCTTTATATATCATGTTACATTATTATGGAAAATTACAGGCACACCATAAGTATTGTAAAATAATCACGTCCTTTTCAATCTAGAAATAAGTTTATATTTTTGCAAGGAAATAATCTAAGATGCACAGTAAATGTTATGATTCTATTGGTATGCATAGAAAGTTAATCGGAGTAAAAATATTTACTGGAAAAGACGATTTATAATATAAATTAATATTGCCTAATGAAGCACTGATAAGAAAAGAAGAAAGTAATTAAATAATATTTATAATTAAATATTATCACATAAATTATAACAATATTATATAAGATATTTTTATTTAGATTATTATTAAATTTACTATTTTTATTATTTTTTAATAATCTATTTGATGTTTTCTAGTTTGATTCTGGTTTGAATTTATGGTTTTGGAAGAACATCAATTATTTCAGAAAGCCGAAATCTATTGCATTTTTGAAAATTATCATGTTTTATATAAAAAATGTATCTATATTAACGTTTTCATTGACACGCTAAATGAATTGAAAGCATTCTGATATCAGCAGACTATATAGAGCATCACTTTAATTAATGCAAATTATCACCAAATGAAGTTCTTAAAAAATATTAATTTCAACTATCCAACAAAAACTTTAAACATACCCTCAAGTAAAACAATACAGAAGTTTTGCTAATATGAAGCAAAAACTAAACAGGTCTATCAGTGGCGAAGTCTCAATTTACTCCCCGCAAGGCATCTCAGCTGGTGTACTAAAAAATAATTAGCTGAGTGAAGCCAAATGAAACACGCAAAGTATAAAATTTAGTCATATGCATGTCGATCTCGTGCCCATTTTACAGTATAGTTTTAAAATGAAACTAATTAAGAGTGGCTCTCTAGCTTCTCCTGTCTCGTCCAATATACGACGGGAGTAAGAATTCCTGCGCGCAGAGTTAAACGACCTTTTTAACATACGACCACTCCCCTTCATTACCAGGCACATTTTTTTCTATACCGCGACGAGGGCTTTGAAAAAAAGCAGCTCAGACAAAGAAAGCAAAAGAAAAATTGCTTATAAAAACTGTAAAGTGACAAAATTTATGTCGTTCTATAAAGATTTCGAGACGGTCCACTTGGCCGCTGCCGACACATTAAGAGCCAAAATAATTTTCGATTCACTTTCGAGCGAGCCAAACACCGGTGCTGTGTATATTTAATATCGCGCAACAACAAGGCCACGGAATCGAAAATAGCAACAATGGGGTGCCGCAAACAGGCGAATTATTTCTGCTAAGGCTGTGTGTGCGCACACAGAGTCCTATCGGAGTTTGCTGGCTGCGAAATCTGGAGCGCCTTCGGCAGTGGCTTGGCGCGGCTCCAGAAAAACACATCTTCCTCGGTCGCCGGCCGCAGGGTTCAACAGTCAAGAGCAATTATCCCACCGCTTCATCGAGGAGACGGACGCTTTTGGGGATTTTAGAGACGTGATTTGCGAGTCACACGTGTTTCGGTCGATAAGAGGGAGGCATTTAATGGATCGTGAGGGTTCCTCAGATGAATTTTAGGGGCAAATGCAAACTTCATTTTTATAAATGAAGTAAAAAAGGAATATAATATATATTCAATTTTCACTTCATTGAATTGGTTTATATATTGGGCATATTATTTGGATATAATTTGAAATTTGATCAAGTTCTAAACCATTTCAGTTCATAAAAAATGGATTCATTTATAATATTCGCCAAATTTATATTTGTGTTTATTTAAAATTTTTGAGATTCCCTGAGATTTCACAACAGATTTTAATAATTTGTCAAAGTTTCCAAACTGATTTTGATTGCGCTGCTGATTAATGAGGAGCATCTCTATACTGAATTAAATTTTCTGAGCCATTTCCCATTATATCAATGTAGATATTTTATTTTTTATTGTTGTTATTTTGCCATCTTGATTGGGATGATATGAACGTGATTTGGTGAAATTTTTATAAATTTTGTTCGGGCCAATTTTAGAAAAATCCCGTAAGAAACAATGTTAAATTTAAAAAATTTAGTTCTTCCAATGATTTCACTTTTTTTTTATCTACATCTCCTTAGAACTGATATTTACAAACAAATTCGAAAGTGGAGAAAAATTACCATCAAAATTAATTGTACATTCATTTTTTTAGCAAAAGCCTCTCCTTAAATTCTTACTGATTATGAAATAAAAATAAAAGATCCAAAACACTTATGAAATAAGACCCTCACGAGAACTGACGAGAACCCATAAAAAGTATAACATTTGCTGCAAATATCTCTTGTCAACGCACAATAGTCTGGAAATAAACGACATCAAATTAATAAAATTAAAGAGCGGCGTGTTTTGCCAGACACAAAGACTCCATTAAGGGACGCATTAAAGTCGCTCTGCAGTTGACACATTGTATTATTATATTTGTATGAGAAAGAGCACGCCCGCCTCCAGATGTTAATTGCACTTGGCACCGTGTTCCATACGAAAGCGCGGGCGAGAGAGAGAGAAAATAATATATGCATGTGTGTGTGCATGCAAAGGAGTGCACCAGGGCAATCGATCATCTCCGAACGGCGCATCGTGTTTGAAAACAAACGTCAAAACGGCCTGGAATGTTTTACAAGAGAGCGCCGTGATGAAATGCAGAGAAAAATAACAAATAGCGTCTTTGAGCATAAAAAACAGGGCTGTCGCTTTTTACATGAGGAACATCAGTCTGAAAATGCGTCGAGCTGTTATTTTTTTTTATAATCAAATTATCATGGGACAAATCGAGATGCTTAAATGTGACGAAAAAAACTCAAGCCAATCCATTCGTCTAACATATATGCAGGTAATGTTGTTTTATAATTTTGAAATTTGGCATTGGAAATTTTTAAGTGATATTGTTGATTGAGCATTAGAATAATTACTAATTTTCAAGAAATTTCAATTGTTATTTCATGAGCTTTAAATTTTTTTAAAATTGTGGATTTAAATTTTATTAATCAATTTGATACATACATTTAATTGATTTTTAATTATGTAATTAATAAAAAAATTAAATAAAATCATTGGAAGGTGTCAAAAGATAAAACAATACAAAAATTCTACTTTATAATATTGATTTATGCTGCAAATTTTAAAACATTAATTGAATTGGTCTAGGAAAAAATTCTACAATCTAATTATTTTGCAAGATCTGAAGATGTAATTATATATTAAATTATTAAAAATTATAATTATGAAAATAACAAACTATGAATAATTAAAAAAAGCTACAAAGCGCAATCATTTTGTATGCGAGACTTTTCAAAAGAAATTCTTCCGTGTTATTTCTTTGTAAACTTTGCAACGAAGTACAAATGAATTATTAGCCTCAAGGAAAATTACTTTGCTCAATAACAAGTAGAAACAATTTGTTGTAAATCTTAACGAGGAGCATCAAAATAATTACAAGACAAGCAACCGCAACGGCGGCGTTTTTTTTTTCTTTCGATGTTTTTTTTATCTGCCTCATTTGCGACCTCGCTGATGGAGCGGACGGTTTTAAGCAGAAGCACGCGCGTCATATGAACGCTGCTTAGTTTTACCACACGGTTTTACCCATTAGCGAACAAATGCATATTTCTACAATCATTCATTGTTTCCGATCGGTTTCTCAAAAACGCATCATAACCCAACCTCTACAAAGAGCAGTTGTGACGCACCAACTTTTCCCGCATTTCGAGGATGAGTTCCGCGAAATTCTGCAACCGCTGCCAAGGTGAACGCGTTGGGTGCGTTACTTACCGGTCGCGTGACATAAATTAGCAGTTTGCTGGGATTTCTCTGGTGAGAGATGGGTTAAATTTAATATTAAGAATTACCTTTTTCCTCGTGGCGTTCCTTAAAGGGAGTGCTAATGGTTTCTGGTAATGAATAAATGAGTCGCAAAACGTGACGAAAGACAAAATTATACAGAGCTAGAAACTTTTATGCAAGAATTTTTAAATACTGTTTTAGGGAATTATAATTAGTTGACTAGAATATTATTTTACAAAATAATTTAGCTCTTTAACATATTTAATATAAAATAATTAATTTCAATTTAAAATACTGTAGGCTTTTAATTAATTTTTTTATATTTTGAAGGCTAAACTTACTTTGAAAAAAAAAATTATGTTTATTATGCAAAATAAAATTTTAAAATTTATACTGCAATTGGAAGAGCGGTTCCTGGTGAATGGATTAATATTTAATTATATTATTGTTGAAATCATTAAGTTTTGCAATTCCATTTTTTTAAATATGTGTCAGAAGTTTAAGATCATTTAGGACGAGAGTTAATAAATTAAATATAATATATCTTTTTTTCGGAAGAAATATTCGTCAAAATTACATGTTTTTCGTATTATTTATAACATAATTAGATTACATTTAAAGTCCATATATTCAAATAATTAATTTTATTTAATCGTTACTTTACTATTTAAAAATCAGTTTTTAGAGTTAAATAAAATTTTGAAATCTTAATTAGACCTGGATGGTTTAAAACTTTTTTTTTAATCAAATTGTTTGTACACTCGTA